TCGGACCGCCACTTGCGGTTGCTCCGGAGCGTGAGCTGCATGCACGTCGAGCTCCGGACCTGGAGGATGTAGTCGACGTCCTTGACGAGGGGCGGCTCGAAGGTGAGGGCCATGGCCTTGGCGCGGAAGGCCGTGCCGTTGATGTTGAAGCGCGTCGTGCCCGTCATGTAGATGACCTTGTCGCCGCCGTGCATCACCGTCGGCGTGTTGATGACGTTCGCGACGGCGACGGGCTCCTCGAGCAGGTTCTGGGGGCCCTTCATGTCGTTGACGAAGGACGTGAGGTACATGGTCGTGCCCTCGCCGTCGCCGACGGACGTCGACGTCGGCCACGACTTGCCCGCGAGCAGGCCGAGGCTCAGCACGGTGTCAGAGACGATCGTCACCTTGTAGTCGTCGGGGCTGATTTTCGGGATAAAGGACAGATGAATTTTTTCGCCGTCCCCGCCCCCGAAGCCTGTCCCCTGGATGCGCAGCTTGCTCGTCACCGTCGAGTAGACCGTCGTCGGCCGCGTCGTGATCGTGATGATGGGCGCGGCGCTCGTCATCGTCGTCAAAGCCGCGAGGCCCAGGACGCGCGCCAGGGCGAACATGGTCGTCATGGTCGTCGCGGAGGGCTGCTCGTTTGAGGGCTCGAGTCACCGCGCGCGGGGCTCGAGTCACCGCACCCCGTCACCCGGCGCCGGTTTACCCTGGACGGCGGCGACGACGGCCTCGGTAAATTTATACGATTTTGCACTGGCGCCGCGCGCCGGGCTGCCCCAAACGTATCTCATTGAGAAACTTGAAGATTGCCTTTCCGAGGCTTTCGGGTCGACTAGTTCGGGCAGCACGATGGTCATCGGAACCATTGTTCGCCTCGTCGCCGCCGCAGCGAGCGTGGCGGCGACCGCGCCGAACGGCCGCGGCTGCCAGAGCGCGGCGGCCCGATCTCTGGCCTACTGCGACGAAGCGCTCGGCCTCGACGCGCGGCTGCGCGACCTCTCGGGCCGCCTCACGGTCGACGAGCTCGCGTCCCGGCTGCAGAGTGGGTCCGTGAGCGCGGCCATCGATCACTGCGGCCTCCCGGCGCAGAACTACCGCATCGAGGCCGTGCACGGTCTGGAGGCCTATTGCATCGACGACGGCGACGGCCGCGTCGAGTGCCCGACGTACTTTCCCGCGCCCCAGGGCGTCGCGGCGACGTTCAACCGGTCCGTCTTCGCCGACATGGGCCGCGTCGTGGCGCGCGAGGCTCGACTCTGGACGAACCGCAACGGCCTCGCCAAGGGCCGCAAGCCCGTGGGGCCCTCCGTGCGCTGCCCCATGGTGAATTTGATGCGCTTCGCCCGCGTCGCATATCTACGAACGAAGCTCGAGAAATGCGTTTCGTAGGCGCGACCCGCGCTGGGGCCGGAGCGACGAGGCCGCGTCCGAGGACCCCTACCTGACGGCCGAGTTCGGCGCCGCCGTCGTGCGGGCCATGCAGGTCGAGGGCCGCGGCGGCGTCCTCGCGTCGAGCGAGGTCAAGCACTTCGCGGCGTACACGCTGGAGACGAACTGGAAGCACGAGAGCGACGGCCGCAAGGGCTACTCCGCGAACGTCTCGGCCTTCGACTGGAGCGACTCCTACGTCGTGCCCTTCGCGGCGACGCTCGGCGCCGCGGGCGCGCATTCCTACATGTGCAGCTACAACGCGATCAACGGCACGCCGTCCTGCGCGAACGCGGCGCTCGCGCGCCTCGCGCGCGACGACTGGAACATGCCCGGTTTCGTCGAGAGCGACTGCGACGCCGTCGGCGAGCTCAAGACGGCCTACGGCGTCGCCGACGACGCCGCGGAGGCGTCGGCGCTCGCGCTCGGCGCGGGCACGGACGTCGACTGCGGCCCGACGTTCGGCGCGATCCCGGACGCCGTGCGGCGGAACCTGACGACCGTCGCCCGGCTCCGCGCCGCCTTCGAGAACGCCATGCGGCCCCTCTTCCTCGCGGGCCTCTTTTCGCGGGAGGCGACGGCCTGGGACGGCCTCGACGACTTCGGCGTCCTCGCGGAGCACCGCGCGGCCGCGCGCGAGGCGGCGGACCAGTCCACGGTGCTCCTGAAGAACGAGGGCGGAGCGCTGCCGTTCCCGCGGGGACTGCGCGTGGCCTTGATCGGCCCCATGGCCGAGGCGCGGGCCCAGCTCGTCGGCGCGATCACGATCGGTCCCTGCCCGAATTCCACGCTCTTTCGCGGCGGCTACAAGGAGGACTACTCGTGCGTGCCGACGCTCGCGGAGCGGCTGCGGGAGCGCGACGACGCGTCCGCGGTCGAGGTCGAGGCCGGGGTCGTCAACTTCACGTCGCCGGACGCGTCGCGCGTCGCCGCCGCCGTCGAGGCCGCGGCGCGCGCGGACGTCGTCGTCCTCGCGCTCGGCGCGGGCCTGGAGACCGTCGACGAGAAGGAGGATCTGTACGACCTGGGCCTGCCGGGCGCGCAGGCCGCCCTCGCGTCCGCCGTCGGGCGCCTGGGCAAGCCCACGGTCGCCGTGCTGGTCATGGGCAACCAGTACGCCGTCGACGAGTGGGTCGCCGACGTGCCCGCGGTGATCGACGCCTTCGTGCCGTCGGGGCTCGCCGCCGCGGACGTCATCCTGGACACGGTCTTTGGCTACAACGACCGCTTCGGCAAGCTCCCGTACACAATTTACGACGCCTCCTACGCTGACGAGGTGGCCCTCGCGGACGCGTCCTTCGAAAGCCGCGGCTACCGCTACTACGGCGGCGAGCGCGTGACGTTTCCCTTCGGTTTTGGTTTGTCCTACGCGAACTTTTCGCTCTCCGACGCCGCGCCCGCGGCCGTGACCTTCACGGCGGGGGCGGCGCACACGGTTTCGGTCAAGGTGAGCTCCGACAAAGGGGGCGAGGAGGTGATCATGCTCTTCGCGAAGCCCGTAGACGTCGACGCCGGCGGCGGGCGGTTGCCCCTGAAGAAGCTCCTCGACTTCGAGCGCGTGCGCGTGAAGCCCGGCTCCACGACGACGGTGTCCTTCACGGTCGCCGCCGAGGCGCTCCACCTCGTCGACGCGGGAGGCGCGCGCCGCGCGGCCGAGGGGAGCTTCGAGCTCCTCCTGACCAACGGCAACGGCGACCCCCGCGTCGTTCGCGCCACGGTCGCGTAGGAGGCTTAAGGCTGCGCCCGCCTCCGCGCGTTCGACGATGTTCAGGCGGTAGTTCGGAAAAGGCGAGAGCGAAGGGGCGGTGCGCTCGAACGATTGGCGGTCGGCGGGCGCCCCGCTCTGCAGGGGGAGGAAACGACGAGGGGCGGGACCGGCGGCGCAGGGCGCCGCGGAAAGAATGATGGAGCCGCGCTCATCGGCGGAGCGCGGCCTTGGAGGCCGCGGCCGCGGAGACCGCGAGGATCGCGACGACGGCGAAGAGCGCCGCCGTCTGGGAGGCGATGGACGCCGTGGCGCCGGTGTTGCCGACGCCGAAGAGCGCGTCCATGCCCCGGGGGCCGATGAGCAAGATTTCTCGTGCCGCGGGTGGTTTTGGTGCAGCATCAGCGCCGTCATAGTGACACTACGCTGAAGAAACACGGGCTTCGATACTGGGTGGTGAACCCGAGATCGAGCGCGCGATCGATCGGCCCGCGCCCGCGCGCGCGCGCTCGCATCGCAACACCGACGATGGCGCGCACGCCGACGCCGGGGACGCAGCGCACGCAGCGCACGCAGCGCGCGCAGCCGCCGCGCACCTACGCGCCGCCGGCGCCGCCGCCCGGCGTGACGCCCGACGGGCTCCTGGAGGGCCACCCGAAGGACGAGTGGCTCGACCGGTTCGTCAAGTTCCTGGTGCGGCCGCGCGGCGGGCGCGCGGCGCTCGAGGCGCTCGTCGCGCGCGACGACGCGGCCGGCGTCGTCGGCTTCGACGTCGACTGCGTCGACGTCGTCGCGCACGACGCGGAGCTGCTCGCGTGCACGCTGCGGCACCCCAAGGTCATGGTGCCCGTGCTCGACGACGCGCTCGCCGAGGCCCAGGACCGGCTCCTCGCCTCGGCGTCGGCCGCGGGCCGCGACGACTGGCGGCCGCGGCGCGCCAAGGCGCGGCTCCGCTGCGTGCCGCCGCTGCCCGAGCACTGGAAGGCGAACGTGAGCTCGCTGCGCGCGTCGGACGTGGGCAAGCTCGTCCAGGTCTGCGGCACCGTCGTCCGCGCGGGCGCCGTGAAGATCATCGAGTCCTGCCGCACGTACCAGTGCGGCGCGGCGTCCTGCGGCGCGACGTTCGCGGTCTACGCGGACCGCGAGCAGGGCAACCTGCTGGAGAAGCCGACGCGGTGCCCCGGGGCCAACGGGTGCGGCGGCTGCAGCTCGCGGCGCTTCGTCGAGGTCGGCCGCGAGAACGCGGACTACCAGGAGGTGCGGCTCCAGGAGCACGTCGAGCAGCTCGCCGTCGGGTCCATCCCGCGCGCGGTGACCGTCGTGCTCGAGCACGACCTCGCGGACTCGGTGCAGGCCGGCGACCGCGTGAGCGTCGTCGGCTGGCTCGAGCGCAAGTGGAAGCCCTGCTACCGGGACGTGCGCTGCGACGTCGAGGTCGTGCTCGTCGCCAACGGCGTCCGCGTCGGCGCGGCGTCGACGGCGGGCGCCGCGCGCGTCACATCGGAGGACCGCGCGGCCTTCCGCGCGCTCTGGGCCGACGCGACCGCGCGGGGCAGGCCGCTCGCGGCGCGCGACGCCGTCGTCGACAGCGTCTGCCCGCAGATCTTCGGGCGCCGCGCAGTGAAGCTCGCGGTGCTCCTCGCGCTCATCGGCGGCGTCGGCAGCGACGACGCGCCGCCGGCGCGCGAGCCGGGCGCGCCGCCGGCGCCCGCGGCCGCCAAGGCGCCGGGCGGCGACCGGCGCCGGGGCACGCCCCACCTGCTCCTCGTCGGCGACCCGCTGTGCCGGAAACGACCGGTGGATTGCCCCGTCCAGCAAAAACTTCACACCTCTCGAGCTCGGTCACGTCGAAGTCGATTCGGCTGATTGTTGGACGGATCGTTTC